ATCTCGCGAAACTCGAATACTACAGACACCATCTCAATTCTTCATCATTTCTCTCTTCAATCCAACCATGGCCATGGCAACTCAAGCCTCCCTCTTCACCCCAACTCTTTCCTCCCCAAGTGACCGAGTTACTGTGCCATGGAAGCAATCATCCCTGGTTGCATTTGCAAGTCCTAAGCCAATCAAGACCAACATGGCAACAAGGACCATCAGGGCCATGGCAGAGGAAGCGTCCACAAAAGCGGCACCAGCGGGATTCACCCCACCACAATTGGACCCAAACACCCCATCACCAATCTTTGCAGGCAGCACAGGAGGGCTATTGAGGAAGGCCCAAGTCGAGGAATTCTATGTTATCACATGGGATTCCCCGAAAGAACAGATTTTTGAGATGCCTACTGGTGGTGCAGCCATAATGAGACAAGGTCCAAACTTGCTCAAATTGGCTAGGAAAGAGCAATGCTTAGCTCTTGGCACTAGACTTAGGTCCAAGTACAAGATTAGCTACCAGTTTTACAGGGTTTTCCCTAATGGTGAGGTGCAATATTTGCACCCGAAAGATGGTGTCTACCCAGAGAAGGTGAACCCCGGACGTCAAGGAGTTGGGGTGAACCTCAGATCAATCGGGAAGAACATTAGCCCAATTGAGGTAAAATTCACTGGGAAGCAAGTGTATGAGTTGTAAGGTGTCGTACCTAATCGTCATTTATGTAATATGTGATATTGTGATTATTTAGTGTTGCTTGATGTAATTGTATTTCTTTTTGAGAAGCTACATTTCAGACACAGCCTGGATCTTGTTACTTTGTATGTGATCGGATACTATTACTGTCTTGGTCCATTCGTATTATACTCTTCAATATTTACCAAGAAAAGAAAAAAAGATTGTGGGAGGAAGGCAAGGATTTGTTGTTTTCTCGCAAATGTGCATCACTGAGTACTCCATATCTAAGATCCGCGAAAAAGTGCGTTCATTTTCATATCATACATTCGTGATGCTAGCTGAAAATACATGTATGTGTGCGTATAAATGTGATTGGCAAGACTATAAAAATTAGAGCATTAATTTCCTACTTTTCGACAAGGCTCGAAGCTGTGTTGGTAAGGTGGTATCTGCATAGAAGAATTTGATCATCAGTAATGGTACGTGGTTTATACTAAGAAAACAATTAGCACTTCAATTGTTTGATCCCGGCCACCTTTTGTCATTGCTGCCATCATGGTCCTTGTTCTTCCAATGAATTCTACAAGTGAAGAGGGTTGATTAAATGATTAATTGCTTCAAATTTGTACACATCTGAAACGCATGACCCCAAAGCAAGTTAATAAATTAGTGAGCCAAGTGATTGATTGCCAAGAACATCATCTTGGTGGCAACATATTCAGCAAGCAGCTAGCAATTGCTACGTGGAGTACCAAATTTGGTTGCTGATTTGCAGCAGCAAGCCGGTAGAGCGATGCACCTAAGCCTATAAACCACTTAAAAAGTATTTAGCGATGATTAGATTTCCATGTGTTACTCAGCAGGCAAAAGAGAATGGGTGCATCAATCAAGTTCCACCTCATTGGCTCGTGTCTAAATGGAAGTGCAATCTTATGTATCAACACATATTCTGATTCAATAGGAATCCCAATGTTATGATCATCCAATAGTGGTAGACAAAAGTATAAGGAATTGCTTCTAAGAACAATACTCTTTTTTTTTTCCTTCTTCTTCTTCTTCTTTTTTATTCTTTGGGTCAGGAAGCGCAAGTACAATTATTGATTTAAAAACTCCAACCAGAAATAATTTCGAAGAAAATAATTAGAGAAGTAGGAGGAGTAACAGAATGAATCCTAAAAGGAATAAAAAGGAGAGTTGGCTTATGAACAGTAGTCATGGTCCCCTATGGACACCTTGACTAGGAGGCTAAATATGGAATATCAGGTGAACATTTGATTTGTTGGAGTTAGGACTAAGTTCGGATGCGCGGCTGGTGCCTGGTAGGTGATGTGGCAATGTGATTTTACTAGCTAACCCTTATCTCCCAATTTCACCCTTTAATTAGTTATTGATGTGAGCTTGTAGGCTTGGTTATTGAGTCTTTTCATAATGATGCTGTTGGATGGTAGATTGAGATCCATCAGTGTGATTGGTTTCTCCATCTGCTGTCCCAACCCCATCATAAATTAGTTCAAGAACTTCTCCATTTTCTATGATATCTAAAACCAACCGAATTATGCAAAAAATTTAAAGGCAATTCAGTTAATAAAGTAATTGAGATTATAAATGTTTCAAATTGTGGGTATTTGATTCGTTTATGTTTATCCTTTTGTTATGGCATTTAAATTATACCAAGTTTGAGGCTTTGCCAGTTGTTCTTTTGCTCTTAAATGCTCATTGGATTCATTCTTTGCATGCATATTTCTGATTTATAGCTGGGTCCAATTACTGCTCTAATACTGATAGTAGGGAAGATAGGGTCATTGGGGTGATTTTGGGGCAATTCCCCAATGCGTATTGTTTTCGCAGCACACACTATTTTCAAGTACCTATTGTTTTGGATTTTTTGGATTAGTTTTTATTACAAATTTGTTGATCGTTTATATACTCTAAATTTGATCCTGGAAGATGATTCTTATGTCAGGTTCTTAATTATTTTCGGTCATATTTTTATCTACCCTTGGAAGCCGCTTTCTTCTTTACTCTGCCTGCCATATTTGATTGGTTGGGTTCAAGTATTTTGCGTCCTTAGAGCCAAATATGTTTTTAATCTTTTGCTGGATTTCTGCTTTTGAGCCCTTCAGACATGACGATGAGTCCAAGAAGTTCTTCCATTGCATTCTGGTAAACTTGAAATTTTGTCTCTGTTTTCAGCATTTCATTTGGATTCTGCAGTTTATTTCATTTGTTGTTTCTCTTTCTCCCACATTTAGTGCTTTCTTATTAGTCGAAATTTAGGATGGAACTTGGCAAACTATCAAAAGAAGCTGGATAGTAGTTTGAAATTTTGCAGGTATATACTATCATTCTTAACCAGTTTTCCTTAAAAAGGATTGCATCATTCCCCATCTTTCAAGAGACTGAACCTCGTAGGTGATAGTCATTTTGTATGACTTAGTTCAAGTCAAAGGACGAATTTTCTTTATACTCTTATGTTCCTGTTGTTTGATGATATAGAGGGAGCTCTTTGATTTGTATCCACTTATTACATGCTAATTGTTTTAAAAGGCTTGATTGGAAAGCTATTAGTTGGGTGGTCTCACCCCCTACCTAAGGGTGCAATTAAGTCAAGCCGCTCGCAAGCTACTCGCGAGCGGCTTGGTTAAAAGCTTGGCTCGAGTTTGGTCAAACCGAGCTCGAGCTACTCGTTACATTCAACGAGTCAAGTTCGAGCTCCAAAAATAAATACTCGAGTGCTTGACGAGCTTAATCGAGTTTTCATATTATATTTATATTATATATTCATATTATATTTATATTATATATTCATATTATATTTATATTATATATTTTGAGAAAAAATTTATAGGTTTAGTTCAAAACTCGAGCTCGATCTCGAGTAGATCGGGCTTGATATTTACTCGAGTTCAAACGAGTTGAGCTCGAGTTTAATTTTATTTTATCGAGTCAAATTCGAGTCCAAATTTATTAACTCGTTCGAGTTCGAGCTCAAATAGCACTGATTCTGATCGAGTTCGACTCGGCTCGATAGTACCCCTACCCCTACCCCAGGGTCTCCTGTCACATTGAAGCTCAAACAAATGTAGCTCCAAGAATGCTTGATACGATATGTAAAGATAATGATCATGATCAATATGATATTTATGGATTAAATAATGAAGTGGCATTTGCTCCACATATGTGAAGCATGTTCAAAATGTCATTTATCAATTACTCCAAGTTTGTAATTATAATTCTCTGAAGTGACTTTTTGTGAATAAAATTTGTTGAAGTCCCCAATTTGCTTCCATCTATGCTACAAGCACGTACATGTGCCAGCATGTATTGATACTGATTTTACCTGTGCACCAACTGCAATCATTTTTAGCATGTTATCTTCAAGATCAGTCGGTGTGGCAATACATGCAGTGATAATGGTGCATTTATGCTTTTAATGCACTAAAAGAAATTCTGGAGTTTGAAATCTGATGTTTATATGTTGACGGCATGAACAAATGCTGGAGTTTTGGGTAGTTTCTTGAGACAAGATACCATATCTGTATGGTCAAAGAATTTGATGAGAATGCCTGGAGAATTATTACAGTTTTTGACCATGTATACTTGCATTGATTATACTCTTTCCGGGCACCGTCACGCAACGTTACTTTTATTGCCTTATTACGTGGAAGCAATTGGAGGCTCACCCATTTATTTTAATTTTTTGTAAATTTATTTAAATTTATTTTTGTAAACTAAATTATTAATTTATATCACCTTTGCACCCATTATTAGTTTTAAATATTTATTTATAATGTTCAATAAGCCTAATTACTATATTTTTTCTCATCCATACTCTATGTCGCAAAATTACATACTATTTAACAATTGAACAATAAGAATACAAAAATTTGAACTAAGTACTATAAAAGTTAATATAAAAACTTAATTCAAAAATTTTGAACTCCTAGCATTTTTTTCGTGTGTAAATTTAAAATTTTATTTTGAAAAGGTAGAAAAATAGACTAAAACTTGTCATAAATTGGTAATACTAAAAAATGAACAAGTTAATAAACTAAGAGAAAATAAAATGATAAGATAAAACCAATAAATAATAATAATAATAATGAAACAAAAGTAGTTAACATCCTGACAAAATGAAGAATTTGAAAAAAAAAATGGGTGGGGGAAGAGAGAAGGCTTGGGAAAAGACAATTTAAATGATTTAATTGGGTTTGATGAGTTACCCAATAAAATTAAATGGGTATTCTTGGGTAACCCATTTATGCCCATATGCAAAAACATAAGATACTTATATCCATCTATTCGTGGTCATGTGTGGGTAAATTTAGCTAAATAGGTTTGTTTCCTATAGTTTTGCACTAGCTATGGACATTAGTTTTCTACCATGCAACCATTTATTTTTGTTAATATAAATAGTGCTTTTGTCTACGGCTCTTTGTATGAGTTTTCTATTCTATAATGACCGGTTTTTGATAATGTACAGACTTATACAAAACAATATACTACGTATCTTGAATTATCACTTTTCGACCGTTAAATTCGCACATACCTACTCTTAACTTCACACACACAACAAATAACTTCACCAAAACTGGACACCCTCATGGGATGCACAAATAAACTAGTATTAAAAATTATGCGGAGAAGGGTGGGGGTGCAGAAGAGGACAATTTCCATCAGTTCATCGGGCCCTTTAGAATTGTGACCGTGGAGATAGCTAATAATAGCTAATTTTCAATCCAAATGCCAAATCCCATCCAGAAAAACTTTGAACCTTATCAGAAACACATGGAAGGCCTCAAACTGCAATAATTTGCCCTTATTTAAATCTCAAATTTTATGAAGATAATGTATGTTTATTGATTTGTTCTCATAATACTAAAATGTCCCACACAATTGAATAATGTTAAATCATTATAGAGTATTGACAATGACAGTGAGTGATTCTTGTTACGATACATCATGTTGCTTGTCATTTCCCCTAAAAACCAAACACCATTTATGATATTGGTATCTCTTCCAAGTTTAAGTTGCACCCACTCCTGGAAAGCGTCCAACATGATAAGATCAATTCAAGCCACATGGTCATATCCAAGGCTTTGTATAAAGCTCTGATATTCCTGAAAAATCATGATTATATATTAACTACAAATATATATACATGAGAATCTCTAAAATCGATAATTTTAGCTATCTTTTAATTTGTTTACGTTGCTTAGCATAGAATTTTCCTTTCCTTTTCTGGAAAGCATGCATGAGACATCATATGGATCATTAACATTTGAATAAAGGTTTAGTTCACATGACGACATCTAACCACGAATATAGAAACACACGCAAAAGTAGCTCACATTAGTTCAATTATACTTTTTTTCAGTAGTTGAGAATAAGATCACTCCAACATAAAGTTGGCACCGATTATCATCAATTGTTAATTGCATAAACGTCATGTTTCCTATGAAGATAATAATTTAAGGATGGTTCCAACATACTTTTGTTTTATGAATATCTATTAAGATGCTAAACCGGTGAGGCTTATCTCCATCTATCTGAGACCCACACGGAAACACAATCAAAGAAAGACGTGGAGAAACGTGGGCAGGCTTAGCTAGTGCAGTATATTATTGTACCCATTACGTCTGCGTCAAATGACAATGACACATTAAGTTGTCCCAGCTTAGTTTTAATTGTGCAGTGATTCACTCATGCACGTGAAATCACGCCTTATATGCAAAGCAAATACTCCAAAACAAGAAGTTTTTCGATTGACCTAGCTTCTTTTAGATTCTTCTTTCTTGCATTATATACGAGCAAATCAATAGAAAATTTATCCTCTTCAAAACAATCTCAATTTTGACCAGTGAATTAGCGCATAGTCATTACCTCAGAAATGGTCTGCTATGAAGTTAAAATTTATGTTGTGATAATAATAATATCATTTGCCTTCGTGTCGTGATTAATTATGGCCTCCTCTTTATGATATTGTTCAATGGCAACATTAATTATAAATCCCACACAGAAGGATTTTCATTCTTTCAAGTTATGTTACTCGGACTCGACTACCAAACTCTGACGATGTGGCTATTCTATTGCAAATGAAGAACGGACACGAGTACAGCAGGGCAAAGCGTAAGAGCCCGAGTAATATAGCTTTCAAGCGGACAAGGTGCACGGACGGTTGCAGGTGCAACCGTTCCGGACGGTTTTGATCATTTTCAACTGCGCGTAATTTTCTTTATATATCGTGTAACGTTTTTTGCACATCGCGTAACTTTAGAGCAAATTTTTGTGAGACCCACACATGACGTGAAAATCGAGTTACAACTTGTAATTTCAGCTGCACAAATTTTTAAGATCAGATCATGGCCATTAACCGTTCAAGGACGGTCATACTGATGACCGTCCCTGCCCCATTTCCCTTTCAAGTAGGTATGTGATTATATCTTGAAGATCAGACAAGATTTTGCGGATGGATGTGCCTTGTCCTTTATCCAAAGAGAAGGTAATTTTGTAGCTCACCACTTGGCAAAATTTGCCATTAACCTGAGGAATGATTTTGTGTGGCAGGAATCGTTTCCTGCATGGCTGACTAGTTTAGCTAGGAAAGATGTAGGACCATGTGCTCCAGCTTTGTAAGCTTTGTGCATGAACCATGCAATTGTTATCGTTAGGGAAAAAAAAAAAAAAAGTAGGTATGTGATTAGCAACTACAGGAAATCATTTGCTTGAAAATTAGCTATCAAATTAGAAGACATAATACTTAATAAAGAAAAATAATTACACTTTTACGTCTTAACATGGACCTTATCGATAGTAAAGTGCACATTAAGCATTTTTATTTTGTTCATGTATACATAAAATAATTTCTCAGATACATAAACATGAACAGCATTTGCATGGAACAACAAGACCCTATACAATGCTTCAAAAGAAAACAAAAAACAAGACCCAATACAAGAGTAAGGTTACATTTATTGTACGATTGGATACACAAACACTTAGCCCTTAGGGGCCTAAATTCAATTAACCGGAAGGTTAGGCCCTGAACATGACTTGCCATTGGACTAGGCACCTACGGCCGTGGTTTGCAAAGGCAGAGTCCATTTCGCTTGCCGTGCGGCCAATCCTTTCGTCATCTTCGTCGATTCTTCCGTCATCTTCTCCAATATTATTAAACCATATTTCTGGTATCACTTGCACAAGGTTTGTGACCGTCTCTAAAGCATAATCAGCCCCTCCGATCTTCGTTGCTTTTCCAACCTTCAATTCGCAAATCAGAATTATAATTACATTCATAATCTAATCAAGCAAATTTTAAAAGTGAACTACCCAGTCAAGGAGAAAATAGTTCTAATCACTTTCAATTTCGTTTAACACCCTTCCAAAAACTTTTTATGCTTAATTTTAGTGCATTATATCAAGTCGAGCAGCTTTTGGTCGAATGCTTTTGCAACGTACGTCCATTGTGCTGGACGATTTCTAACAAATTCAATAATATAATATCTTTTTATACAAAAAAAAAAGAAGAAAAGAAAATGCAGATGTTACTTTATTTTGTTTACATTATTATGACGGCAAGGACAGCAGTAGTGTCAGTACACCGAGAAACCACCAAGACCGTCCCACCTAAAGAAGCACTTGTGCAAAGAAATACTAATATATTGTACATCCCGCTGTATTTTATTTTATTTTTTTTTTTTTACAGAGATTATAAACCTATTCTATCTTAGGCTAGAACATGGACGGACTTGAAGAAGAGATTCAAGAGTAATTCGAAGGGGATTAAATCACCATCGAAACAAATTCTATGTATTTGTCTGAATTTTTTAAGCAAGTCACTTAACGTGACAATTTATGAAAAGTAATGTTTGAACCTTTGCTCAACATCCCATCAAGTTTTAATACTTTGGCGGTGGCCACCAGACAAAGGCCGGTAGTTACAACCGCCATACTTGTTGTACCCAAATCCAGCTCCAACTTACCAACACTGTTCGGAGACCCACAGCTTTTCCGGCAGCCACATTCCGCACGCTGTCGTCAAGAAAAAGCTGCACAACCGAACAAACAAATATCAATTAGTAATTCAACAAATCCCATCATTATCATAAACAAATACTGTTAATTACTCTATAATTAATGTCATGATCACAATATGACGGTGGAGCTGAACTAATTCGCTTACCGTACGGCGAGGATCAACCTTGGCGACATCGATAGCTATGTTCATGGCTTCTAACGAAGGTTTCAGTACGACCGGGAACTCATCGGGTCGGGTCGACTTGGAGAGGTTCGGATTCATGGTCTCGAAACAGATAATTTGTTCGAAACAATCTCTAATTCCTAAACGATCCAGTGCGTTCATTGCATGAACTCTATCGGAGTTCGTAAAAATCTGATGATTTCATTCCCTCACAAAACATAAGTAAGACCGAACTTTTTTTTTAAAATTAAAAAAAAAATTTAAAAAAAAAATCTAAAAACGTTTGCGAACTTTGTTAAATGAATAATAAAAATGAAAAAGACAAAAAAAGGAAGAGCTTACGATTTTGCGTTGTTTGATAGTCAGCAACAGCTTTCGCAGTTGCGGGTCAGGCTTGATCAAATCGTAGGGTAATCTTCCGTGTACGACGCTGTTTAAAAGAAGATCGAGAAAAATAAACGTATAAAATTCTTAGCAGTAGTAGAAAGTTTATTAAACACGTAAATCTGCTTTATTTGAGATTTTTTTTTTTTCATTTTTCCTACCTGTGATAATCGTCTGCATCGACATCGTAACCTAATGCCTGCAATTCGTATTCAAAATGAAGCGAGAAATGAGATGGAAAATTGATCAAGAAAAATTAGAGCGATGAATCGAAGCAAATTATAAGAAGTTTCAACGAATTAACTTACACGTAGGCCGGCGAGAGAACTGCCGTAAGCTTGGAAGAGCTCGACGCGGAGGCTGGAAGCTTTGGATTCATGGAATCCGCATTTTTCCACCAGAAAATCTGCACATTTTGTGGTTTTCAGGAAACTCAAGGAGTTAGTGCTTCGAGCTGGCCATTTTTAGCTGAGAATTCAGTTGTAATCTTTTATTGTTGATATATTAAGTTTTAAGAGTTGGGGAATTCGAACCGTCAATGTTGCGTTTAAGGGCTTCTCCAATTCCCGTTTCGGAGGAGTACAAGGTGTCATCCAAATCTGTTTTTTTTTTTTTTTTAATTGAAACAAAATATAATCAGTTAAAATGATCAGCAGTCCGTGGTAGTATTGTACTATGAATTAGCTGTTGTAATGTTGGATTGGCCTAAGCAATTACCGAAGATGATGCAATCAAAAGGAGATGAAGAAGAAGTGGATGAGTCTCGAGCTGATAATTTACTGCAAGAATCCATGACAGGAACAAGAAAAGTGGACAGGAAGAAGAAGAATTGGGGATGGAAAATGGACAAGTAGAAGAAGGTAAATTTGAGTGAAAGATTGGCTGCAGGGGGGGCAAGGCAACGGAGATACAAAATGAGGGACAGGGCCGGTGCATTGAGGAGCAGGGGAGCCCGGGTATTCATAGGAGGAGGACACGGATAGGACAACGACGTGGGGTTGAATACTGAATTAGTCGATGGGGAACAGGAAAAGACGTGGAAAACGTGCTTCTTAATCTTGATTTAATTTGGCTTTTATAATTGGAGGTGGTCAGGCCACGCCCTTTGGATACGGATAGGGGTGCAAAATGAACCGGGTCGAATCGAGATTGATGGGTCATCATCAATTTACTTATATTATTCCTGTAAGAGATTGATGGGGATTGAACCACGCACCCATCTGAATTTTTTTTAAAAAAATCACATATTGTAACAATTGGTTGAAGGCAAGGACCTCCAACCTTACTAAATCTAAAGGATTTGGTGGTAGCTAATAGTTTTTGAGTAAGACTGTTAGTTATATATTTATCATCAAAGTAGTTATAAATGTATACCACTTTACCCAACTACTCCCTTTATCCCAATTATTTAGTCATGTTTCGGGAATCAAACTTTTTAACAATAGTAGTTTGATTGTGATGTTTATGCTTCTCTTTTCAATTTTACCTCCACAAATTCAAAATTTAAAATTGAATGGTAATATACATATAATTAGAAAAAAGGGTTATATTGAAAAGATAGACTAAAAAGTGCTTTGACTTTTCTAATATGACAAATGTTTTTGGAATGTCTCAAAATGAAAAGTAGGGGTGGCAATTCGGGTTCAATTAGGTTGGTGGGTCGGGTCTTGATCCGACCTGTCAAAAAATCCGTTGACCCGAACCCGACCCGTCAACCCGTGACGGGTTAATATATCTGACACGAATCCGAAAAATTTGGGTTGGCGGGTCGACCCGAAATGATCCGAAAATTAATTTTAATTTATTAATTTATCACTCTAAATTCTAATAAAATCAATTTCTCACAAAATTAATTACATCATCAAGTAATAAAAATTTAAATAAATAATTTCAAATCAAATCCAAAATAAATTAAACACCGTAAAAGTGTTTTATTCCAAACCAAATATAAAATAAATTAAAACGAATTATATTATTTGTCCAAATATAATAATTTTAACTTCATACAAGGTAAATAAATTCATTTAGGATTAAGTAATTAATGCCTTTGAAAAAAAAGAATGATTTAGTTTAGTTAGATAAAATAATTTTTATGTTTATTAAATTAATTTTAATTTGTAAACCGATCATATCGGGTTATATCAGGTCACCACGGGTTGACCCGAAATTGACATGTTTTCTTTTCGGGTTCATCGGGTTCGACCCGATTCTGACCCGAACCCCCAAAACTTTAACCCAAACCCATTAATTTCGTGTTAGGTTCGTGTCGTGTTTTCGGATCGTGTCAGAAATTGCCACCCCTAATGAAAAGTATGATATTTTCAATGGGACAGAAGGAATATTAGATAATATTTGCACGCGGCATTCTTGAGCCACGCCAAAAAAGAGCCCTTCCACCTAATGTCCTGTAAGAGATTAATAGTCAGTTTGGCTAAACCACGACCACGCAAGTTCACGCACTCCCATTCATTCTTGTGAAGGAAAAAAATGAGCACTGCCAAAAGGAATGGCCTCTTTTTAATTGGAACTTAATAGAGGCCTAAATCCACTCGTACTATTTGGCGCGGAATTTTGTTGAACCCGACACTCAAAATAGGTTGATTGTGAAACCGACCGGTGAAACTTTTACTATTATTTATAAGTCAGTCCTTAATTTATTTTTGGGTTAAATGCAGAAAAACCCCCTGAACTCTCAGATGAGTTACACAATACACCCCTAAATATGTTTATAGGCACTTTGCACCCAAACTCCACTGAAAAGTAACGGATATTTACACAACGTTTATTTTATGATCCAAATGACAACTTTATCCTCAGATAATAATTGAACGGACAAAGGCACCCTTATTCTCTTCCAAACCCCAAGGCAAAGCTGAATCTTGAGTTTGCCAAAATTTTTTGCCTTTTACTTACGATCGAGGAAGAACCAAAGCCGAATGACTGCAGAGGGTAACTAGAAGTGGGCAAAAGACGGTTTGAAGAATCTAAAACAAGTGGAATATTTAGAGTATCTCAGCAAATCAGGTCATATGCAAAGCCCTAATTTTTTCTTTATTTAATCGACTTTTTACCCTTTTTGTGTGGATCTGGATGCCCAAACTTATAGTTTTATGCCCTCATTCTGCTGGTAGTTCATTGTTGTTTTTTACTAGTTGGTTTTATGTTCTCCTCGCCATGATAAATTAATGATTGAGAGCAGTGGTCGGCGGTACACGGTGAAGCTTGCAACTTTTTCCCTTTTGTTCGCCGCTGCTTTCAATCAGTAGTAGAGTTCAAGTTGTGTTGTTTAACGATTGCCACTGGGTTTGTTCCGACGTCTAGCATTCATGGGTGAGTTTTTATTATTACATTTTTTTCTTCATTGTTGCTTTCTGAAGGTGAGATTTTGACTGTTGAGTTTTGCTATGCTTTTTCCTTTATTGTTTCAGGCTTTTATTTTTTTGGTATTTCAAGTAGCTTAGAAATTTGTTCATTTTTCTCTGTAATTTTTTTTTTTTAGTCTTTCATTTGGTTGTTAGCTAATTTATTGGGTTGGCTTTGGTTTTTAATTTGTGGCTTTGTTCTTGCGCATCTTCTTTTCACTTTTTTTTTCTTTTTGTTCACTGTTGGAACACAGCTTTTATCTGACTGTACTTCCCTTGGTTGAGACTTGAGAGACCATTTGTATTGCTTGTGCTAATTTAGAAGTTTTTGCTTTTATGTAAAGTATTTTGAGTCAATTATTTTCACCATGGTCAAATCATTGTTCTACGGTTGGATGAAATATTTTTTGAGATAAAGATAAGCCATATTGAAGGATTAGATCACTTGAGCTGCAACTATGTGGACTGTGTTCCATGTGAGTAGAAGAAGAATTGTGCATCTGTGAAGAAGAGGAAATACAAGGGGGAAAAATGAGAAGTGATGGTAGGTGGTTCTCATTTATATTCACTGGAAGGAGGGCAATTCTGTCAGCAAATTCAACGGACAGAAAGTGGCTTCCACGCGTTTTGTTTCACCGTGAAATGTGTGAACAGTCGTTTTCTCAGGGTGCAAAATGCCTATAAACATATTTCGGGGTGTTTCGTGCAACTTCCATGAAAGTTCGTGGGTGTTTTCTGCATTTAACCCTTTATTTTTTTTTTTGGGCTTCCAGGTTGTATTTTTATCTTTTTTTTTCTGTAGAGCTCACTTGTCTTGAGTTCACGATGGCATCCAAGCCTGCTGCACCATTTGATTGGACTACATTAAACTTGGGAGGGGCCAACCCAGAAATGAGAAAAAGACTGAAAACACAAATGAATTAATAGTCAGTCCAAACAAATTTCAGCATTTTTACTAAAATAATTAACGGACGTCAGGTTTCCAGGCTGATGCCTGTGAGGGACTAATGCCAAGAAGTCCCCTTTCCTTTTTTTTATTTGTTTTAATTTTTAAATTTGGTTCTTTTTTCTACATATTCAGTCAAGATATGGACCTCTTATCGTGGCAAGTATAGCAAACTCTTTCTTTCTTTCTTTTTTTTTTTTTTTTTTTTTTCTTTTCATCTAAAAGAAACTCAAAAATAAATCTTCCAATGGAAAGAGTTAAAAGAGTCCCTACTAAAAATTTCTACATTGCCTCCCTATCTATCAGGCATCGGTAAAGCTGTTAGAATATGGTTTAGGCCCACACATAATTTGGGCCTCCTTGTTACACACCAACAACACCAATTACACCTGCCCCACTATGTTAAGTGAAAAATCACAGTCCAATCTATACCAATACAGGACTGCATAAGCCCAGCTAAAGAGCTCAGTTTTATTCTTTTTCTTTCTTCTTCTTCTTTAAACAGCTCACCTTATAGAACATTGATTTAAATTGGACTCCCAAAGTAATTAATTGTTTAATATTTATGCTTTTGGTTGTTTTTTATATATTAAAACACAGACAGCAGCTTATTGTACAAGGTGTGAATACAAGAGGTGCTAGCCCCCTTTGATTTCCAAATTTTAAGAGTTTATGCTTCATAAATCATGAAGAAAACGATGGCTCTGTAGGATTAGATTGTGCATAGCGAATGAGCTATTTGACTCAAATTGTGAAAGTGAAGACCATCTAAATTGGGTGAAACCAAATCAAAGTTCACAAACGCCCATTTTGCATTAATATATTTCATTTCTTTCAAGTCACTGCATAGGCAAAAAGAAGATTACTACTAGTAGCCAAGAAAAAAGAAAAGTGGGAGAAGGATAATGGACAGCTGGGAAAACCATGAGAAAAAAAGAGAAAAGTTTGCTTTTAACTCTCTGTCATTTGTGTCTCTTTTCTGTATGTGGGAGCTCCCTTGTGTTTTCAGTTTCAGGCTTGATTGTGCTTCTGGGCAGTGCCATGGCCATAGATGAACCTCGCATTTTCTTCCGTGTAAACGTGAGTCTCATTGTCCAATCTGTCAAATTTTGTTTCACGGCAACAGTATATATATATTTAGCTGCCAATATATGTGCAGGAATATAAAGAAATAAAGATTGGAGCTCCCTTACGATTTCCGAACAGCTTTGCTTAAGGTGGAGGCTGATGTGAATGTTTGGCCATCAAGATATCTGTTTTCACCTTTGATCCTTTGTTTCATCCTCAGGTCCAATTCATCGGCATTCAGGATCAATGGCGAATCAGAGGCCTGTCAATTCATGATCATTAGTACGGTGTGGTTTTAGCATCAAAAACTTGTCAAGGGTTAGATTCGAAGTTAAAGGTTGTATCATTAGTACTTTTTTTTTGGGGTGGGGTGGGTGTTTATCCTACTTTTTTTTTTTTTTTTAACAGAGAATATTCTCAAAAGTTCAGACAAAATCAAGAAAACCCTTTTTCTCTTTGTGGATGTTTTGCTGGTAGCTGTTACAAGTAACAATACCATGATCCATCCCCAGATGTCGGCATAGGAAGGAATATGTGCTGAATAGGGCACAACATCTGTACGTGAAAGGAAATAAATCTTAGTGTAATACTTAACAACAGTAAGAAAAGCAATTGACAAATTAATTAATGTCCAATAGCAGAATGCTTTTTCATTTTATGACTAAAGTACTCACATTTGAAAACCTGCCTCAGCGTGTTATAGATGCAAGAAAAAACTTCCGCATGGCTGAAAACTCCAGCTGGTCCTGCCTGAAGTACAAAAAAGACTTTCAACTTCTTCACACTCGACTTATGCTATTTAGGCACGTAAATACCCGACAGAAGACTGTTTCATGCACAAACCTGTGTTACAAAAATACCACCCTGATTGAGTCTTGGTTTTACAGTACTTTCATAGAAGGACTTGGTGTAGAGTTGGTAACATGGACCTCCTTCAATTGGATCTGCAAGGTCACCTATGATCACATCATAAAGCTCTTCTCTCCTTTCAAGCTCAGCCCTGGTAGAAAAGAGTGCGGTATTACACAAAAGCAACAAATAAAACCAAGAAAAACGCAAGCATTACAATCCAAACCAAGTGCATGAAATCTGTGATTTGTGGAGAGTATGGCAAAACCTGGCATCATTGATGACAAGATCAAGTCTAGGATCACAGAAAGCATCTCTATTAATCACCAGATATGACTTGCAAAATTCCACCACTTCCTGTACATGAATTAGACCAAAAAAAAAAAAGAAGTTACTATCTCAATCTGACATGAATATGCCCATATTTTTACTTTCAGCCACTGTAAAGTATTATGACTTTGGTATGCATATTCAACTATCCGCACTATTCAATTTGTTAGTACCATTGACTTAATTCCGCTAATTACGGTTTTATCCTATGTGCTTAAAGTCATGTAAGAACAAAAAATGTCATTAAGTTGCAGCAAAAGTAAAAGTAGGTTCACATTTCATCGGATTTATCAAGAAGGAAATTTTTCAAAAGTTGTTAATCCATCAATTACAGCTGAATCATTCTGTCTTCAAAATGGGGAAATAAGCACAAGGATATTGAAATCGAAGGATGTGAAAACAGTGACTACGCGACTAAAAGTGCACTTATTGACCAAAATAAATCCGTTTTTATTTTTTTCCCTTCTTTTTTCTTCTTCTGCGCGGATTATCACAAGAATATTCAGGACATGAAAGTTCACCTCATCAATGTCGCACATGGCAACATTCTCAACCGTTTTGTGCCTTAGCAATTCTCTTGCTGTAGAACCCTCACCTCCTCCCATGATGAAGATGTTTTTGGGGCTGAATTAGATATGAACAGCTAGTCAGAAACACAATTCTTTATAATAAAGGAAACTCTTTTAATCTGAACTACTTCCGTAATGATATTTTGCTGAAATATAACCTACTTTGGATGGTGAAGAAGTGCTGGATGTACAAGAGATTCATGGTAGATGAATTCATCAATCTCTGCGCTTTGAAGCTTTCCATCAATGACTAGAGCCTGTTTTATTAATCGTAAATTGATTTCAGAATACTTGAAGGTTAAAAAGAAAATGATAAGAGTAATTATTTCACTTTTACTCTCTTTAGTATTTCATGTCTATCTTCTCTTTATCATTCCTTAATTCTTTCTTGTTCTGTTTACAACCAAAATGTGCTACAATGTCCATTAACTACTTGCAGAAACTGTAGAATGAACATTTTCAACTTTGGACATGCCACGAAATTTATATTTGTAAATTATGATAGGTTGGGTCTACACGAGAATTTGATTTTTGTTTATTTATTTATTTGTTGTGTGAGGCATTGAGTTTACTAACCTTTCCAAAAGGCTTTGTGTCCAAGAGTTGAATGTCCTGGTATGGTGTAGCACCCGTGTGCAAAATACTGCGGAAAGAAGAAAATAAGGTAATGCTGTTAAGGACTTTGTAATCAAAAGTTACACCAATTTTTACCCATAATCTTATCCTGTCTGGCTTTTCCACATACAAGAAGGGCTACAGAAGCTTCCCTACTTTTAAGGATGTACACTTTACAGGGCTATAAATCTTTCTAGGGTACGATGAGTTGATTTGTTTTCTTTTTTTATTGGTTATAAAATAT